AAATATTTGATTTAAAATGATTTCACAAAATTATGCTCACAAGCTAAAAATTAGAATTCTACATGTGGACGAACTATTTCTAAAAATTGTCGTTTGACATACTTTTGAAACATTAAGACACTGTTTCCACAGGAAAATATTTTGACTTTTACTGCTCTAAAACTAACCATGTTAACAAGGAGTAAATGACATGATTATGCTTTTCTGAAATAATTTATTGATGAAATACTATCTAATAAGGTGGATATTAGTTTTCTTTATTATGTATAAAAATTATGGAAGATTAGATATTAAAATCATCAGATTAAATAGAAACCTATTCTAAAATATTCCTTGACCTACTAATCTAATAAATGCTTATTTGGAAACCTTCCAACCTTATTGGTTGGATGCATTTTCCATTTTTTAGTCCCTTTCATTGGTAGACAACATTTTAGCCAATTTACTAAATTTATATCCTTACTCTGTTGTAACTTCTAATTTATTCTGAATTCAATAAAATAAATTTGATTAACGATGTAATAATTTAGTATTTTATGTTTAAGTAATTTTATTTGTCCCACAAATTAAGTGACAATTTGTTGTTTTTGTTTTTGTAGATTGATGATATAAGAACTAAAATGCAAGTTAGTATAACTAGTTACTATGGTACATAAAAAATAACTAATACACAAATATGTGGTATAAAAAGTTGGTTTAAAGGATATTATATACAATGGAATAAAGGGTTAAATAATTAAAGAAAATTTCTTTAAATCAAATTAATTAATGTAACTATTATGTGAAGTGAGTATAATTTTATTTTTAATGCATGCAATAAAGAAGATGGATGTGATTTTCTTCCATGATTGTAAAATGATGCATGAAAGGTTTTAATTAAAGCAGAGTGATTCAACAAGAAAATCATTTTCTTGTTTGAAAAGCAATTAGAACAAACAGACTTTTTCCCAGATAAATTATATATAAACATTTCCTTACTAAAATAGTCTATCATTCAAAATATTAATGTACTAATGCCAAAAGTTTGAGAAAATGTTACTGCTGCACTTAGTGAATGTATGTGCTTTTTGTATTACATATGATTGATTAGCTTAATATATTTTTAAAGGGTCCCCAAAAGATTGGAACATTACACAATTATTTTGATACACAATTGGGATGTGACATATTAATATCTACTTTGATAACAGTCAAATGAGTGATACCAAGATATCACTCTAAACATACACATCAAGGACCTATGAATTTATGTATGTATTGTAATGCTAAATATAGAGAAAAATATTCCACTTAAACTGCATAAAATTAGAGGAAGAGTATTTGTTGTGTTAAGTTTTAGTCTATTCTTTAATAACAGAGCACAGCTCAAACTATCATTGAATGTAAGGTCAGTTAAAAACTAAAAGAAGTATTTCAAAATAGGTCTGTAATTTGGACATTTCGGTATAACATTGGATGCTTTTTAGAGGGGAAGTGTGAAAATTCTGATTTTGCTTGGAAGATTATCTCACTTTCTCTGATTTTTTTCCTCTCTTAATGGGTTTTAACAAGTAATAAACACCAGTAGAAAAAATATGTAAAAGAAAGAAAAATGCATGTTACTAAATTTAATAATTAACCTTGTTTTTTGACATAAAAGTAAAAGGCAAGCTTAACTTTTCAAGGCTGATTCATGAAGAATATTCTCATTAATAAAACACTGACTACATTTAAGCTATAAAATTTTCACACATAAGATAATACTGAAACAATAATGTACCATGTTTCTATCTCCAAATTTATTTGTTTTAAATTTAGAGATCCTGTATATTTTATAGTTACTTTTTACCAATTCAGATGGTTCATATATCTCTATGTATTCATATAGAGTTATAAATAGATTTTATAATCATGTATAATTAAGTCACAAAACTATGTAAACCTACGTAAAATAAAATTCTGTGTGAGTTGTATGACTGAGGACTTCTTAAAATAGTAATCTTCAATTACATATTTTACACCACAAAATGTACAGACACCCAGCTTTTTTTCTAACAACAAATACAGGTGAATTTATAGATTCTTTATAAAAGCTTTAAGTGATTCTGAATTCAAAGCCATAGAAATAGAATCAGAATCATGTCGATTATTAGATATTTTGATAGTACATATTAAGTGCTCCATCTGATAACATCGACAGCTACATCTTTGGCATTGAAAATTCAGTATGAGTTCTTGACAAAATTTTGTAGCTGAGAGCATTATTTTCTTTTAAACAAGGAAAAACAGGGTTGAATAAGATATGAAAACTGGGGAGAAACTATTGATGATTTTTTTTTTCTTAGTAAGTTTATCTTTGGGACCCTGAATTACCTGTTACTTTACTGTAAGATGTGGACTGTATGACTCCATTTAAAAACCAACTGAGTTGTACTACATTTTAGGAAAATTATATAATATAATATATATTTTATATTTATTTAGAAGCTTTGAAATAGTACAGTAAACACTTTGCAACACGGTGTATAAACTACAGAATGTCTTTGATATTTTGTGGGTCTTCAGAATACAACATTTTTATAACCCACAGGTGAAAAGAACATAATCACAATTTCTCTTGTAAAGTTGGAATAGCTTGGGGAACACTTGATCACACAAAAATAATATAAAACAGTCAAGTTTAAAACAGTGATATTGCATTTATAATGCACAAATTTCCTTTATCTTTATGACTGGCTTCTTGTGGTGAATATAAACATCTAAAGGGCTCAGTGACATTTGGAGAGAGAAAGATATATAGTGCTGTAAACAGGCACACACTGATCGGAGAGGCAAAGTCAGTTGCCTCTAAAGTTTCTACAGTTCTGCACATTTCAACTCATTTCTCAGGCCTGCTGAGAGCAATTAGGTCCTATAATTGGCCACGATGACTCCGCCGGAAATCTAACACTCAGTTACATACAACTAACTGAATGGCCAAGATAATGAAGTTGAAAAGTTGATGCTTTTGTTGGTCGACTTTGTGCAAATCATGCTGCTTCAGGTAAGTCCTGTAGAATTGACTAGCATATCCTTTTCCGTGCTGTGAAAAAGAAAGAAAAATACTCTAAGAAAAAGAGATTTACTTCTAGAGTTTAGAATTGCACATTATTGTAAAAGAAATAAATGCAAGTGAAAACTAGTCGTGCCCTCATACCAAGCCTATGTAGTGTGAAAATATTTTAGCATTAGTAGTCACAGTCATTCTGTTGTTTGATTTTCTGAAAATGCCAATTTTTACATTCTTATAAATCAGTTTTGAATGAGAAATGTTTATTTTATATACCAGCCACCAAAGATGTGGAGATAACTCTTTAAAATTATCTACAAAACAATCCCTACTTCACTATTTCTGCACGATCAGAATATAGAAAAAAATGTGTAGCTCCTACATTTCTAGCACAAGTCTTTAGAAAATCTATGAATAACTTGTTATACATTTAATTTAATCAACTCTAAATTATATATATTAAACCAATATATATTAGAGAAAACTGTACCAAAAAGTGTTTATGTAGTTAAACAATTTAAAGATGACTTCTATTTTGTAGGTTTATTTTATTTCATTTTTAAAATTATATGAAACCAAGTCTTTTATGGCCTACGATTTTTAAAAAGTAAATTTATCCCCTAAAAGGAATTAATTTTTTCATAAAGAAGTTAATAAAGGCAAAGGGGGGAAAAGATACTATCAAATTTGCTCCAGTCTTATAAAACATTGACTTATGAAGCAGAATGACCAGATTCAATTGTTCAGATTTCATATTAAGTATTTTGTTTATTTATAGTGATAAAGGCTATTTCTTCCAATCTGTCCATAATCTTTATAATATCTGACCATGAGCACAATGAGAACATAAATTATATCATCTAGATCAGTATCTGGCACATAATAAATAGTTCAATTTAGATAAAAATCACATATATGTATATCTCATTAAATATTAAGAACTACAGTAAATAGCGTAACTGAATTGTTTTAATCTGGTGAATAGTTGTTTTTTTCTTTTTTTAAACAAAGGTAAGAATATGTTGATCATTTCAATCCTTCTCCTCTGGTATTTCCACTCATTTCAAGTAGATTATCTAGTTATCTATTTTTTCCTAATTTGTTTCCCTACTTCTCTCATTTATTTTTCCTCAAAAACTCAATTTCTGACCAATGAAACATTTCTTCACTGGTTCACCATTTAGCAGGCACATCAATTAAAACTGTAACAGTCAGGTACCACCACTGAGAGAAACTAAAGTCAAAATGAATATTTCCATGTATTGTGTAGTAAACAATATTGAAAGTAATCAAAACATATTTTATTGTGTAATATCATATGATATCAATAATTATAAATTGGCCTTCTCTTCCCGGTTCTCCCGGAGTTGAGAAAAGCTGGGTTGAGAGGGCAAAAAAAAGAAAAAGAAAAATATAAATGATACTTATAGTTCCTTTATAATTACAATATTGGACCACATGGTAGCTATCACAACTTACCTGGTCATAATGCTACAGGGGATGTTCTATAAGCAGATAGAAACTTTGCTCTTTTAATAGAGTTAAACCCGTTTTTCTATGTCCTTGAATTCAAATTTCCTGTTTCATGATAAACTTTAGTATAAATAATTCAAATATATTTTGTTTATATCAATCTGAATTGAAAATTATTCAGTAAATTAGAAAAGTGCAACCATAAACATTCAAATATGTAAAATAAATCAGAACAAATAGTTACAGTCACCAAATAACTTATCATCCAAACTGGACACTTTGGTGAGTGAAAGGGAGCACTGTCATTTTTTTTTTTTTTTTTTTAGACAGAGTCTCACTCTTTTGCCCGGGCTAGAGTGAGTGCCGTGGCGTCAGCCTAGCTCACAGCAAACTCAAACTCCTGGGCTCAAGCGATCCTCCTGCCTCAGCCTCCCGAGTAGCTGGGACTACAGGCATGCGCCACCATGCCCGGCTAATTTTTTGTATATATTTTTAGTTGTCTGATTAATTTCTTTCTATTTTTAGTAGAGACGGAGTCTCGCTCTTGCTCAGGCTGGTCTCGAACTCCTGAGCTCAAACAATCCGCCCGCCTCGGCCTCCCAGAGTGCTAGGATTACAGGCGTGAGCCACCACGCCCGGCCAGCACTGTTATTAATTACACAGTATCTTGTGCTTTCCTGGAAAACACGGGAAATATGGTTATCTACAAATAATACTGCTTTTTTCAAAATAAATTTGAGATACTACTTACAGGTTGTAGCTTTTTATTTTAATAGAATAAATCAGAAAATGCTGACTTACAGGAAACATTCTTTTCTTAGTTCAAGGACAAAAGAAACTCAGGTGTGACCTATACTCAACCTATAAACTAATTTATTATAAATGTGAAAAACCCCAAATATATTGAAAAGCCATATCTTAGTATAAATGCAGAAATTAGTCAACTTAGCATGTCTAAATCAGTAAAATATCATTTCCATTTAAGTTAAAAATTACTTAAATAAAGGCTGTTAGCATGGATCTTATGTTTGTTTGATTTAGTTAGGATACAAAAAGAAATTATATTATTAAAATGGTTCACAGTTATAAGAACACAAAAATTTAGCACACGTTGTCCTATCTAAAATATAAACATAAACTTAAAAGACATATTCTAATTGTTGCTTAGAGTTATATGTGAATGGTTTTTATTTAAAGTCCACCTATCCTAGTGGTTGTCTGAATAATATAATCACCTTTTTAAAAATGTACCTCCTCCTACCTATCTTAATTCAGGCATGCAAATCTGAATAGGATAAATATAAGAATTGAGGTGGGAGGTCAGAACAAATTAGATTGAGAGTGAAGATTTCCTCCATTTCAGAAGCTAATCTCACATATATAAAGTACAATTGTGCCTCAGTATCTGAAGGGGTGGATTGGTTCCAGGACTACCCTGCAGACACCCAAATCTGAGGATAATCATGTCCCTTATATTAAATGGTCCATAGTATTTGTATATAACCTATGCACATAGTTCTGTGTACTCTGAGTCATCTCTACATTACTTATAATATTTAACAAAAAGCCTACACATCACATTATTCCCATGAATTCAACATAGGGCTTGGCATGTGGCAAACTCAAGTTTTGTTTCATGGAACTTTGTGGAATTTTTTTTTTTCTGAATTTTTGGTTGAACCCAAGAATATGCAGGGCCAACTGTACTGCCAAACTAGAAATACTATTACTAAAGTTATAGTCATATCCAATTTATTTTAAAACTTTTAAGAGGTAAGTTTAAATATTGAACAATCTTTATTCTTTCAGGGTTGTATGGGTTAATGTTGGACAAGTAGCAAACAAATATTATCCATCCCTTTTCCCCTCAAAAAATCAATGTAATTACATTTTGGAGTCATTGCCAGAATTATTCCACAGTGTTAAGGAGTATGGCCATTCACTTGCTGATACATTTCAGGCTAGAGAGAATAGATCAAATACATAGATTCCATGCTTTCTGATGTATTTGACATATGTTTTGGAATTATCAAAGCATAGGTGGAGAATTTTGGTTTTTTTCTTTTCATTTAGCACGTTTTTTTTTTTTTTCTAGCTATGTATCAGCTTATGTAGGGAATTGGTCACTTGATAGGGATGGTTTTCTTTTCAGTCAAATCAAAAGTAATAGGAAAGGGACTGTGTGTTCCTTCTTAATTCTATTCATTTACTGCATTTATTCTTCATAGTCACATAAATGTTAGATTTAAGACATTTATTATGTCTGAACTATAGATGAAAAAGTACTTTTAATGTAAGAGAAATTCTCAGATATCTACCTTCTTATAATTTAACATATATATATAACATTTAATGAAAGTTCCATGGTGTATATTTTTCTTTACATTGTGGAATCTTGTTGCTTTTTTATAATTTGCCAAGTATAATATCAAACTGTGGGAAAAATTAAACTTTTAAACAGATTAAAAATTTAGGATATTAAACTGATTAATGACTTTAGAAAAATGACTGTAACATGTATGTTGCAAAAATAAATGTAAATTTATCAGTACTGATATACTATCATACCACATAATAGCCTGGTGAAAAATAATTTTATATAATACATTAAAATGACAATTTAATAACTTGAATATTCCCATTGCCATACTTTCATAGCAGGAAACAAAATACCCTTTATACTTTATGACACTATAAATCTCAGAAGCAATAAATTAAGCTTGTGAAATAATCTAATAATCTATTTTTACAACTGAAAGAGACAGCCTTCAAAAATCTTAGATGATTGAGACTCTCAACTACAGTGAAAAATTTCCAGAAGCTGAGATCAGTAACCTACTCTGGAGCTCATTCAAATGTTTAATGAGCTTCACTGTCAGGATACTTCTTTATGTATAAAGTGAATCTAGCATGCAAGAATTCGAATCCCTTACCCCCTGTGGAAGTCAGAAACACTTGATCTCTGTTCTCTGTGTAAAAGCACATCATAAACCTAGTTTAAAAGTAATCCTCCATTAGAAATTTGTCCAGTTGAATAATTTGTTCTTTCAACTTTCCTCTGTCTTATTCTCGAACTACTTTTGAGGATTCCCTTTAACATCTTTTTAAAGAATTTTTTTTTGTTTAACCCTATATCTGGTAATCAGCACAGTAGTGTTAACTATTAAAAGAGGGTACCAGGAGGTCAGCCTGAGCAATGATTACATCTTAGCAAGATCCCCGTCTCTACAAAAAAATTTTTAAAAATTTAGTTGGGCATGGTGGTTCATGCCTGTAGGCCTAGCTACTCAGGAGGGAGGTTGAAGCCAAAGGATCTCTTGAGTCCAGGAAGTGAAGTTTACAATGAGCTATGATCATGCCACTGCACTCTAGCCTGAGTGTCAGAGTGAGACTCCTCTCTAAAAAAAAAAAAGAAAAAGGGTAACTACTTGATTTGTCTTTTACTTTCCATTTGAACATTCAATTTGCTTTTGTTTTTGAAAATGTAGTTGTATTGCTTGGATGGTGAGTCATATTTTCCTCCTCACAAAAAACAATTACAAATAGATTTAAAATTAATA